CAAGACAGGGTTTCTCTGTGTAGCTTTGTGCCTTTCCTGGAACTTACTTGGTAGTCCAGGCTGGCCTCAAACTCGCAGAGATCCGCCTGGCTCTGCCTCCCAAGTGCTGGGATTAAAGGCGTGCGCCACCACCGCCCAGTCAGATTCTTAATACATAATATCACATAAACTACCACGACAGTCTTTGCTTCCCTGTGAAACTTAACAAGCCAGACCTCCATCATCTGCACTGCTCTCAGAATTATCTTCCAGTTCTCACAGAACAACCCAGTATGATCTAAGCATCCAACACTTTTTTTAGTCCAAAGTTCTAAAATCCTGCACAGTTCTCCCCCAAAATTAACATTGTTAGTCCTTCACGGCAGCATCCCCCAAACCTGGCACCAATTTCTGTTCTTTTGGTATGATGAAACACCATGGCCAAAATTAACTTGGGCAGGAAAGGGTTTACCTCAGCTTGCAATTGTATTCCATACAAAGGGAAGTCAGGACAAGAACTCCAGACAGGAACATGAAGGCAGGAACTGATGCAGAGGCTATGAAAGAATGCTGCTTTCTGGCTTATTTTTTATAGCTTGCAAGCCTGCTTCTTTATACAGCAATATACCATTGCCCACAGTGACACCACTCGCAGTGGGTGGGGCCCTCTCACATCAATCATTAATAAAAAAATGCCCCCACAGACTTGCCTATGAGCCAGTCTGATGAACGCATTTTCGCCATTGAAATTCCCTCTTTCTAGATGATCCTACCTTTAAGTTGACAACAACAACAAAAAAATCTAACTAGGACACTAACCCTAACCCCTAATCACTCTTTCTTACCCCTGACCCTGTCCATGATTCAGACCTTAGCCCTTAACCTTAACACTTGCCCTAACCCTAACTGGCAGTTTGGTAACCCAGACTGCACACAATGGTTAGCACTAGGTCAAAATGGAGTAAGGAAACTTTTCTGGGCTTGTCAGTCTGTCCTTCTTGTGGACTGGCTCATTTATTAGAACAGGGTAAGAACAGGGACACAAAAAGTGAATGAGGCAGTTAGGAAAAGAACCAGACTGTAGAAGGGCTTGAATGACACAGGACTTTTGGAAACCATAGGAGGTTTTATGCATGAAAATGACTTGGTTTAGGGCACTCCTATTGGGAGCAGGGACTAGAAACAGGATGGGCTGATTCAACAGTTGTCATGGAGCATGCAGCAGTCAGACTCTTAAACAGGGAGAGGGCTGAGCTGCACAGCTACTGTAGAATGACAGGCGTCCTCATGCTCTTGATTTGTCCCAAGGCTGTTTCCCCAGTGGAAGGCCTCATCACCTGCTTTTGGTCCCAGATACGCCTCATGTATTCCATATGGCTGGCTGTTCCCTGATAGGCCGAGAGAACCATGCTATACGCAAGCAACCCACATGCACAGCCACAGGAGAAGACAGAGCTCCATGCTGCCAGGCCTTAAGTCACAGCACTGTGGACATCCTGTAGTGAGATTAAAGGAGGCAAAGTGACCACAGAAACCACTGCCTGGAGGCTTTGGGACTTGCTAGGCTGAATTACAGACCTGGGAGTAGAGGCAGTCTTGTTTGTATACTTCAATCTTGGGGTGAGTAGGCACAGCACATGTGCCTTCCACATTTGGATTTCCTTCTGGTATTTCTACTCCAGAGGGATATGACCAGCCCCTAGGCTTTTCTAGGGTCAGTGGGAGGGCATTTCAATGTGCTACTCCATCTCTGCCCTGTCTACCTGGGGCCACCAGCTGTGTCAAGTGAGTCAAGTAGGGTGTGTTGGGAGAGGTACTAAGTAACTGTTTTTTTGCCCTATAAGGACAATGCGGGCAAGATGGAACTGGAGGTGTATTAATTTTGCCAAACTGTTGAGAAGGTGATATTCCATTTTGGAAGATAAGTAGGGCTTGCCTGCCTACCTGGGACACACCACCCACAGCACCTACAAACCAACAGCCATGGGATTATTTTGTGCCTAGTTTCCACCTCTGCGGCCATGTCTAGAATAGAAACTTTGATCACTGTGAGCTGGGGCTGTTGGCCTATAGTACCTGCATGGGAGCCCTGCAAGTTGAGCTTCTATAGACTTCTCCTGGGCACCTTCCTGGTAGAGGAAAGCTCCCTATAATAAAGAGGAGTCACCCCAAGGGCTGGATGCAGGGGGCTGCTCTATGGGGCTCTTGTTGCTGAAGGTGGGGTTGAGCTCGCTGAGTGTTGGCCTTGAATTATAGACAATTTCTGGGTTTTGGCCTTGCCTTGACAACTGCCACATAACGAAGGGGGAACACGAGGCAACTGACACCAGACTCCCATAACACCAAGGGAAAGGAGCCATTGGTCCCAAGTTGCTGAAGAGCAAAGGACGACTGAAAGAGCAAAGGAGTAGTTCTAGGAGGGCCATGGGCAGTGGCAGGTGTCCACTCTGAGCATTTGCTCCAGATCACTGTGTTGAAGTGGGTGACCAGCATCCTTATCCACCTGTAAGGCACGAAGACCATGCTATCACATGCCAGCTGCTCCATCCACTCTGGGCTCTGGAATCATGATCACCAGGTGAGCTCCACGTGCCCCCATATTAAAAAATAAATAAAACAAAAACAGGCCAGACACACTGAACAGCCTGCTCTTGGAACCAGAGTGCATTTGCAACAGGGTCACGATGACTGGGCTAAGCCCCTCCATCATCCAAACGTTAATGAAGCCAGCGGCTGGGAAAGGAGGAACTCCCGTGATGTGGTCCCACTGAAGATTCACCGGAAGTAGGATCGAGGTGAGACGGGGTCCCTAGTATCTGGTGCTGGTCATTGAGAGACAGTAAATCTTCATGCACAGAGAGACTGTCCTGGGAACTAGGTATGTTTGTTGTGACTTGACTCTGTCTGTGCCGTTCAGGAGACTGGATGCTTGCCTTCTTTCTCCTACCTGAGAGAAGACAGGTGGGTGAGTAATGGGCCCATGAATCACCCTAACCCATCGCTTGCCTGTGTGTTCCTCACCCTGCCCAGGAAGCAGTGCAGTCTCTAGCACCTTCTGTGTAGCTGGCTCTTTCCATATCAACCCAGAGTAGCCAGCAGGCATCCACCTCACAGAGAAGGAAATGTCTCACAGTTGTTAAACGACTTGTTCCTTGAGACAAATGAAGCTTTGTCAGGGTACTGTGTGCCTTTGGAGGCATGCATTGTGTTCAGAGGTCACGGTCAGAGCTCTCAGTGGTCATCCTTTCTGATCTCAGCCCTGCTGTTGCTGTTGGGCAGTGTACCCAGATGGAAGACTGCTTCCAGAATCTCTTTACTGTGTACAAGCTGGACAAATGTAAGTGAGGTGGAGGGTAGAGGGCTCAAGTCTAGGCACTGTTTGTGGAGGCCGTTTCAGACCTGCTCCCAGAGCTTGTTGCCAGGGGAACAGTTGTGCTCACAACAGCAGGGCCAAGCAGCTCAAGTTCATCTCTATAGACAAGTGCTTCTCAACCTTCCTAATGCCTAGACCTTTTCACGGTTCGTGTTGTGGTGACCCACCCCCCAATTATAAAATTATTTTGTTGCTACTTCATTAACTGTCATTTTTCTACTGTTACGAACTGCAACGTAAATATCTGTGTTTCCCACTGGTTTTGGTGGGGGGGGGGTTGTGCCCCACATGTTGAGAGTTACTGCTATAGATGGAAGCTTCCCCTGTAGGCCCAGCTGATGTCTACCCAGGGGAAGTCATTAAGGTAGAAGATGGCCCTTTTACCATCTTCATTAACCCCTGCACTCCAGGTAATGTGAGCCTGCTGCTTTCTGCAGAAGGTACAGGTCTTGCCCAGGGGGAGTGTGGGACTTTTGTGCCCGCAGCTCTATCTGAAATGTTCTTCCTCTTCCATAGCCCCGGCCGTATTTTGTAACATGTATCCAGGGGCTGCCTGACCTAGTGGCCTGCATTGCTCAGCTCTATTGTCAGTAACAATGGGGAGGATACCAGGCCCGACTGAAAAGAGAGACACACAGTTTACTGCCACGCTGGAATCCAGATAAGGTACAACATGGCCTGTAGGACTCTGACATGCCACAGATGATAACAAAATAGTTCTCCCTCCAGGATCCAATTACTCATTGGGGTTTTCCCCTTCTTCTTTCATAAGATCTTGGGGTTTTGAGGAGAGTTCACTTGGAGGCACTTCCTGGGATGAGAGTCCATAGACTGTTGAAAACACCCTCCTTTCTTCCATGGGTATGATTACAGTACAGAAAGATCACCCCTGCTTCTTTCCTTGCAGAAAAAAGTGTCCTAGACAGTCCTTTAGACAGGACAACGTGAGGAAGGATGGTGTCCCTGTACCCTATTCCAGGGCATGGCAGCATTGGCCTCTTCACAAAACAGAGAACTCAGCCAGGCACCGGCCAATGTCTATAATCCCAGCACTTGAGATGTAGAGGCATGAGGAGCAGGTGTACAAAGTCAGCCTCAGCTGCATTGCAAGTTCAAGTCCAGCCTAGGCTACCTGAAACGCTGACTAAAAAAGATAAAATGGAAAACTTGGAGCCGGTCAGTAGACTGTCTACAACTATCCTGCTGTCATTTCTAAGGCTCACAGGGAATTGAGGTGGGGGCAGCCATTTCTACTAGATTACAAAAATCAGAAATAACTGTGAAGCTGTGTCCACAATACTCATTGAAATAAAAAAAAACAAAATGCACTTACAACATTTGTCAGAACCACTAATCAACAAAAGAATATAAAAGATCAAACTTTGTGTCCCTTTAGACTTTATGTTCTAGACCTGTAACTCCTCTGAACCAGCTTTTCATACATGACCCTGAGAACCCCTCTGTGGATCGCTTCTAGGCCCCTTTGTTCTCACTATGTGAGATGAGGTCCTAGAGTCAAGGGGTGGTACCTTCCCTACAGCCCTGATGCTCACAACAGCAGCTCTCATTTATGGTGTTTCCCAGTCATGGGAAAATAGCGCCACCTTGGACTGTGGTCATGTGTAACTATTCCCATATAAAGCTTTTCATTTCTCCTCAAGGATTGGCCTCCCTGGTTGCAGAAGACAAGATGTATCTAGGTGTCACTGGCAGGATCTTCTTCAGGCTCTTCTCTACTGCTATGCAGGTCACTCAGGGTCCTGTCATACTTTGTCTGCCAGATTTCAAGCTTCTGCCTGGTTTCAGGGCTCTTGGGAGTAAAGGAGATGAGACTCTATTTCTCTACTTAGCTCGGAATCTTCAAACAGACATATCGGAGGTTGGCACTGTTGAGAGCCAGGCTGGCCTGAGCATCCTGCCAGGGCTGTGACTTGGAAAATAACTTCCCAACAATCAGTTAGTTGGCTAGAAATTAATGAAGGGGGAACTTTGTATATGTGGAAAGTACATTCCTTTATAGTACCAGGGATAAGAAGCTACCTGGAAAAATGCTCTCCATGAGGGAAGCTTGGGAAGAGCCCCCTGTGGGATATGTGGGCTTGTATGGGCTATTGCACCAGACTCTCTACTCATCCATCTGGATTTCAGAGGCCTAGCCACTAGTACGGTCCTCCTCTGTAGATTCAAGATTTTCTTGAACTTGTTGGGAGTGCATAAGCCCTAACCTGAACCTCTTGTCTTCGAAGGCAAACAGAGCAAAGAGACTTGTCCAAAAGCATGCAACCAGCACCCACCCACAGACCCAGAGCCCAGGTATCCTGAGTTCCAGCCCTACATCTAACTCTTTGTACCAGACCTATCCTGAACCCTGCTTTCCTAACCCAGAAAGTATGACTCTGAATGCAAAACCAGCAGGTGGTGCTCAAGATGCCAAGAGGGCCAGAGCTCCCTCTGCCGGCAGTACCAGGAGGCTCGACTCAGAGAGCTACTATCTTACCAGCTGCAGGCTTTTTAGCTGGAAGAGGGGCCACCTGAAGGTAAAGTGGTGGCTTCTTATACAGATCAAAGTCCTGGTGTCGCTGGCTCCAGCTCCACCTATCCCGATCCAACACAGGCTTCAGCACGTTGGCAAACAGTGCACTTTCCTGCCATTCCTAAATAATAAGGGGAGCCCGTGAGTGGGGTGGGAAGCCATCCCTAAGAACCTCCCTCCCCACATGAGGCCCCTGCTTCTCCATGAAGACCTCATTCGTCTCTTTGATGGATGAAAGTCTCAGATCCTGCTGGCAGCTTCCAGTGGCGCTCTGAAGACCCCACACTTGGAACCCACCAGGTGTGAGCCAGGCCTGGCGGGACTTCTTCTGGGCTTTCTTCTCTTCTTCCTTTGGGTCCTGAGGATCCACCATAGCTGAGAGGTAATTTTGTGAATATGTGAATCGCTTCATTGGCTCCTAGAAGTGAGGAGACAAATGTCTGCTAAGGACAGTATTGGATAAGGCTGAGTAGCCATCAAGCTTCCAAGCAGGTATCAGAAACATCTGGGGACATAATGACACAGGGTCTTGACACTATAATGCACTCACATTAACTAAACTCTAAGGCAGTCCTATGACGGTCACATCATTGTCTCTGTCCTTGGACAGAGAAATCCATTTTCTACATGTAATGAGTGCTAAAAGCCTAAACCAAGGATTTTCTTATGGCTAACAGTTATCTCCATAGAAACACAGAAGAACAGCTTCTGCACTGTTTTCAACCATATGTATTTGAACGTGTGCTGAGCACCTCTGACTCTCTAGAGCATGGTGAACTCACACTCTTCTCCCACCACCTTATCCTTTGTTCTCTGTCCCTAGATGATTGATGTCACCCAAGGCCCATGATTACCTTTGGTCAGAGAAAGAAAAGCTCATCTGTATGGTGGTTTGATTGGCCCTCATAGGCTCATATATTTGAATGCTTAGTCATCAGGGAGTGGAACTGTTTGAGAAGAATTAGGAGGTGTGGCCTTGTTGGAGGAGGTGTGCCACTGGGAGGTGGACTTGGAGGTTTCAAAAGCCCATACCAGGCTCTATGTCTCTTTCTCTCTGCCTGCTGCTGCCTGGGGGTCGGGATGTAAAGCTCTCAGTTACTGCTCCAACACCATGCCTATCTCTTCCCTCCCTGATGATCACCCCCAGTTAAATGCTTTGTTTTATGAGTTGCCTTGATCATAGTATCTCTTCACAGCAATACAACAGTCACCAAGAGGGCATGTTAGTCAGTGTCCTTGTCACTCACTTTGGCCATCTCTGTAAACATCTCCTTCTTAGCAAGCTCTGTGGAATTCAGGGTCTGGATACTGTAGTTGTGGACACCTTTGTTCTTAGGAATGGCAATTCTAACTGTCTTCACTGTTGACTTCGGGGGCTTTTTGGTGAACTGGTAGGCTTCTGTGATATTTTTCTGAAGAGAGAGATGGCAACTGTTACTCATACCAGGCCCTTCCTCGTGTATAGTAGATGTTCTCTGGCACAGAGCCATGGTGCAAAAACTAATTAAAAACTTTGAGTACCAATGGAGTTTATAATCACACAGTCATGACAAAAGGCCATCTAATCCAACATGTCAGGACCCAAAGTGGAATTCAGAGGAGTAAAATCTTGAGACTTCCCAAGGACACTAACTACATCACATACTGAGCCACTATTCTTCCATCCACTTAGTAGTAAAGAATAAAAATGTACAGTTCAAATGGTCAGAAGTGTGAGACACTTTCATGGTCTAGTGGATAGGGGACTATGTCCTCAGGTGGCAGGGATGGACATCATCAGCCATGGCTGACTTTCAGTGCTATGATATATGAGGTATTGCAGGGGCCAGGGGGGTGGGGGGGGTGGGGGGCGGGCGGGGAGAGGAGTCCTCCAGCAGGCCTGGTAAGGAAGTGAGGACTGTTCCCTCTTCAGAAAGGCTGCTGAAGAAATAAGGTGACTTTATTTGTGGGCTTCCTAGGGAATTAAAAGCAAAGTAACACCTGTGAAGTCAGCACTTGAAAGGCCAAGGCAGGAGGATCATGAGTTTGAGGCCAGCCTCAGCTACATAAAGAGACCCTATCTAAAACAAAAACAAAACAAGGTCTGGGTATGTAGCTCAGTGGTAGAGTCATTGCCTAGTCTGTGCAAGGCCCTGGGTTCAATCACCAGGAACTGAAGCATAATCCTAATCAGTCTTGTCAATAAAAACCAGAAGTCAGATATCAGGGTAAAAGCAGAAAGATCAGAGAAGTAGGGCAGCAGCCACTAGAGACTTCTTACCTCTACAAATTCTCTGACCAAAAAGGGCCAAGATCCTGTCTCCACCCCCTTTATCACTTCCTCTCTCTGCCCAGCCTCATCACTTCCTGTCTCCTGTCTGTACAGACCTACCTCCACCTTCTGATCTCCAGGCAAGCTTTATTTGTCAGAACACAAACAAAATATCACACAAGAAACACCAAGAGAAAAAATGAAAAAGAAACAGATGAGATTGGCCGAGCAATGGAAATAAAAGATAAAACAGAAAAGAATGTGGTTGGGACCTGATAGGGGACAATGAAGAAAAGGTGCCAGTCTACATTGTCCCCTTGCCCTTTATTTGCCTACTGAATTTGGAAAAACAACTATCTTCTGCTTAAAAAAAAAAATTAAGGTCCAGATGATTACCTAAATATAAACTGATGGCTTGGCTAGAGTCCCGAGGAGAAGCACAAAGCAATCAGAAGGTTTATAACTGTTTTACACACACACACACACACACACACACACACACACACGGAAAGCAACCATTTCTGTGTTCCTCAATTTCCTGTTCCTTCTGGCCCTGAGCTGGAGGGTCACGGCCCTGGCAGGCAGATCCTCCTATACTATTTCCATTACATTAAAGTCAAAGCTCTGGCCCAAAGAGCCACTTGGTGAAAGAAATGAAGTCATGGTCACCAGGTGGTCTGGTGTTCTCTGAGACCTGAGAAGGACACTGACTCACAGTCAAAGTAGCCTGAGAAACACATGAGGTAAGAGAAGAAGACACACACTGAACATCTGGAGGTGAAAACTGGGAGGCAATACAAAAAAAAAATCTTAAAACAAGCAAGTAAAGATATCAAAATATATGAAACAGAAACAAACATAAAGAAAAGTACTGAGTATAACCAGCCACCCCGGGAGGACCTGCCCAGCTTGGCGCCGGGTTCTGGCCACCGGGCAGC